TCTGCAACTAAAACTAACACTTTTTTTTTTTGTTTTACGTAAACGCGCGACGTTGGTGAGCCGATATTTTTGACAGACCTTTAATACTTTGTCCATCTTTGTTGCTTCAATTTACTTATTCAGCTCGAATCTCTCTCGCAGAAGACGCGACCGCGTGAAAGAATGTACGTCTAGACTCCGTTTCACTTTAATTCAAGACGCAGCGAAGGTAGCACGCGTACACGCGGCTGCAAGAACATCGAGCATCGCGAGAGCACACCCGCCGTTGCAGCACTCAAACTACGAGCTTGCGCTGAGTTCTTTCTTCGCTCGGGCGCAAGCCGAGCTTCTGGCAGCCCCGCCGCTATTTCCAAAGTTCGAGCGCGCGCGCGCGCGCGCATTTGTTCTTCGGGACTACAAAAAAGCATCTCCTTCGAATGCCTGGGGAGAGGGAGAAGGGCTGTCCCGGTGGTCCCAGCGCCTTGACCTCGCCCCCTCCCTCCTCTCTTGTCACCCCTGTCACGTGACCCACAGCAGCGCGCCAGCTACACGCTGATAAGCATCGAGATCCGGAAGGGCGCGCCTTGCAGCCGCTTTTTTCTTTGTCTGCTTGTTGTCAGTTGCTGCTCGAAGTTCGCTCGTCCTACCTGCTTCAATCTGTCGCCTAACCCTGCGGTCTTATTGGGATGTCTCTCGCGGTTTGGTTGGGTTCGCAAGAAGTCGCAAATTCTCGCGGTTTGGTTGGGTTCGGCAAATGACAGCTTGTGCGCCGCATCGTGTTGAAACTTCCCAGGAGCCGTTCCCTCTCGTTTGTGTTTGTGTGGTTGTCCTGATTTGACCGTGTCGACAAATATCACGGATTACCTCTTTCAAGTCCGCTATTGTTATGGTAAGTGCACTGCAACCTACGTGTTGGCAACGATTGACCGTTCTTCTACGCGTACTCTTCTAAATTATCTAAAGAATTATGCAGCGCCTATTCGCGCGGCAGCCAGGAGAATAATTTCCCCGAAAGTCTACCTGCATAGTGTTTACAGATCGCTTGCACGTTTGTACTTGTCTACAGAAGAGGTAATAAACTTCGAGGAGAATTGAAAACAATCTTTTGTGTCGGTTTTCCTGTCCACTTACAAGCACCTACGCGAGTGCATTTGTTCTACGTGTTTTCTCCATGTTATAAATACGTTTATGAGTTTCGGGACGTCTTAAATATGTTTAAGATAACCAAGCTCCCAGACGATACCCATTTAGGGCTAGCGCATAATTTGCCATTTCGAAGGGCACGTTCAAACGTGTGGTCACGTGCCATGTCGAACGGGTACTCGTACCATACGGCACCCGTATCAAACGGGCACCTGTATCAAACGGGTACCGTTTCGAACGGGTACCGTTTCCAAACCGGTACCCGTATCCCATAATCACGTTTGATCCAAACGGATCGACAGGTTTGATTCAAACGGGCGACCAGTTTGCCACCCGTTTGAATTTCAAATGGTTTTTTTCAGTAGGGCCCTACTGAAAAAAACCATTTGAAATTCAAACGGGTGGCAAACTGGTCGCCCGTTTGAATCAAACCTGTCGATCCGTTTGGATCAAACGTGATTATGGGATACGGGTACCCGTTTGGAAACGGTACCCGTTCGAAACGGTACCGGTTTGATACAGGTGCCCGTTTGATACGGGTGCCGTATGGTACGAGTACCCGTTCGACTTGGCACGTGAACACACGTTAGAACGTGCCCTTCGAAATGGCAAATTATGCGCTAGCCCTAAATGGGCATCGTCTGGGAGGTTGGTTATCTTAAACATATTTAAGACGTCCCGAAACTCATAAACGTATTCATAACATGGAGAAAACACGTAGAACAAATGCACTCGCGTAGGTGCTTGTAAGTGGACAGGAAAACCGACACAAAAGATTGTTTTCAATTCTCCTCGAAGTTTATTACCTCTTCTGTAGACAAGTACAAACGTGCAAGCGATCTGTGAACACTATACAGGTAGACTTTCGGGGAAATTATTCTCCTGGCTGCCGCGCGAATAGGCGCTGCATAATTCTTTAGATAATTTAGAAGAGTACGCGTAGAAGAACGGTCAATCGTTGCCAACACGTAGGTTGCAGTGCACTTACCATAACAATAGCGGACTTGAAAGAGGTAATCCGTGATATTTGTCGACACGGTCAAAGCAGGACAACCACACAAACACAAACGAGAGGGAACGGCTCCTTGGAAGTTTCAACACGATGCGGCGCACAAGCTGTCATTTGCCGAACCCAACCAAACCGCGAGAATTTGCGACTTCTTTGAAGAATCGCTCGTTGCCGACATACACGTGGGTCTTTTCGAACACTGATAGCTTTGGTGCACATCCAATACGTTGTCCAGAGACATCCCAATAAGACCGCAGGGTAAGGCGACAGAGTGAAGCAGGTAGGACGAGCGAACTTCGAGCAGCAACTGACAACTAGCAGACAAAGAAAAAAGCGGCTGCAAGGCGCGCCCTTCCGGATCTCGATGCTTATCAGCGTGTAGCTCGCGCGCTGCTGTGGGTCACGTGACAGGGGTGACAAGAGAGGAGGGAGGAGGCGCGGTCAAGGCGCTGGGACCACCGGGACAGCCCCTCTCCCTCTCCCCAGGCATTCCAGGGAGATGCGTTTTTGTAGTCCCGAAGAACCAACGCGCGCGCGCGCGCGCGCTCGAACTTTGGAAATGGCGGCGGGGCTGCCAGAAGCTCGGCTTGCGCCCGAGCGAAGAAAGAACTCAGCGCAAGCTCGTAGTTTTAGTGCTGCAACGGCGGGCGTGCTCTCGCAATGCTCGATGTTCTTGCAGCCGCGTGTACGCGTGCTACCTTCGCTGCGTCTTGAATTAAAGTGAAACGGAGTCTAGACGTACATTCTTTCACGCGGTCGCGTCTTCTGCGAGAGAGATTCGAGCTGAATAAGTAAATTGAGGCAACAAAGATGGACAAAGTATTAAAGGTCTGTCAAAAATATCGGCTCACCAACGTCGCGCGTTTACGTTAAAAAAAAAAAAAAAAAGGTGTTAGTTTTAGTTGCAGTATAATCGAAAATCAGCGCAATTGAAATATAAATATAATTACTTGCATTACGCGGACGATCTGAAATCGATGAACCGGCGCTCCCAGCCTTCCGGAAAACATTGGCTGCCACGGCTGAAACGCTAGGCGTGCCCACGCCGCCGATCTGTACGTTCAATATCAAACGGGCTCCGGAGAGCCGTTTGATTAAACCGGTGCAGTTTGCAACATGGTCGCCGGTTTGAGCAAACGTGCGACAACTTTGCCCAAACGAGTCGCCCATTTGCCCAGACGAGCGACCCTTTTGCCAAATAGGTGACCGTTATGGCTCATACGGGGGACCCCTTTGAGCCATACGGGCGACCCCTTTGACAAACTGGTGACCAGTATGGTTAAACGGTTACCGGTATGGACCCGTTTATTTTCATATGGGCGCCAAATGGTTTTTTTCAGTAGGGTACGTCACATTAAACACGGTACAACAAACTTTTCGCCTAACACTCAGGTGTGTGTGGCAATCCGCAAATATTGTCGTTCTTTTTCGTGAAGCTTAATCGACGAGACACTCACGCAACCTTTTTCCTGTGTCTTCAATGTCCATGGCCTACAGCACTTGACATGCGAAGGGGTTTTTGTTCCTGTGAAGGACGGTTAGGCTGGTGAGCTCTGCTCATAAGCATTGAGAATTTATCTTCTGAAACACGTGTTTTGTCTAGGCGCTTTAAAATATTTTTTTATTATTTCAGTGTTAATTTAAGCGTCATTACTGGACGCCCTTCTGATTCACTTTAACGATTAGTGAGGGCTTAAAGTCGATTGACGCAACATGGCAGCACTCTATAAATAGTAGAGATCGCGTTGATGCAGAGCTTACTTAAACCTAAGCTAGTATTGAAGCAACCCATTCTCTGTGATGCATTATTCTGTTTGCGCGAAGTCAGCGCTGCGTCAACAAGATAAGCACTATTTCCAGCGCTGACTAACAGCAGTTGTGTGCTGTGGTGGGGAATGAGTGAACAGGCCTTTGTCATGAGGACCGACGACAATTCATCATAGTCAAAGCTGTCTTATTTACGCTTAGCAACACAAAATAAAAAAAAAACCTGGCTGTTCCTTCATTTTTGATTAGAAGTTCAGGTATCTGAAAAGCTGGAAAGCGCCTCCATCTTCCATTAGGTTAATAGACCGATCTCACCAAGCGTTTGGCGCATGCGCGAGGCAGCCATAACTTTAGTTCACAGGAGGCAATCGGCCGTGCACGAGCCTGTTCGTGCCCTGCACGCGCAGAGCTCCAGCGAGGTTGTCGCACGCGCAGAAAGACTAAAGTTCCCTCGATGCATTGCGGCAGCGGTGGCGTAGTCAAACTGGCTGGTGAGATCGGTCTATTGTTTATCTTTTCAGGTAGTGAACATTCCACGACTAACCGTGATCTGCACTGACGAAGCGGTATCGCATGGTGCCAAACGTCTCCATAGCAAAAAAAAATATGGGTTTGTTTTGAGTTGAGTGGTGTAATTTTGTGCTCCCATTATGCTATAGTTGCAAGTAAACTTCATATTTTCCTCATCCATTTGGTGTTATCTTTAACAAAAAGAAAATGTGGGCTTTCATATTTCCTTCCTTGTATCCGCCTTTGATGTGGCTCATGATCATGAAACAGAAACCACTCTGGAACAACCTATACATTCTAGACACCATAAAGTATACAATATATTTTTCCTGCGATATACGACATGTTACTTTTCTCGGTCTTACCAGCGCAACTGGTAAAGACGAACTGTTTCTTTCATAATGTATGAAAAAAGGCATCTCTGTTCTGCTATGGTTTGTCAATCATCAAACGCGAAGCGCACACCGTGTCTAGTGCATAGAGGCTCTCTTCAAGAAAGAAATTTGGGTCTCTTGAGTTGTTCACTCTTTTTTATATATTTAATGAGTTGTCACCTGAACTAATAATCAGCGTACTCAAAATAACTACCTAGATCCTCGACCTCTTCAGCGGAGATTCTCTTGGCCCCTACCAAAAAGGCGAGCTCGTGGTTCACAGCAAAACCCTTATGAAGGGCTACTACGGTCGCCCGGAAGCTACTCTAGAAGTTCTGAGCAGTGACGGATGGCTTCGCACGGGTGAGTTTGAGGATGCTCTTTGTGATATTTAATTATTTAATTTTATATTTATATAATGGGCCTAACCGCGGCCTTGTCATGTCCGCCGTGCGAGTACGCGTTGAGATCTAGCATTTGTGAACCAGTCTCATTCGGTAATTCAATGTAACTTGAGTATTGCGCTTACAGATATTCGTTTCTATTTTCAAACCTTGTGTCTGTAAGATACAGTGCTATTTTCGTAGGCTGAAAAGACATACACAACGTAGTAATCGTTTATGTTTACTGAATCAGTATGCAAGGTGGCCTTACACTTGAACCGCATATCTGCAGTTCTAGCGGAGTTCTGCATAAAATGGTCTTTCGATTAACGTGCACCTGCTGCTTAGGTGCAGAAAAAACTAGGGCAGTGTACCCCAGGTACGGGTATTGAGATACTAAGGGAAGTACCCCATCCTACACTTTGATGCACCGACGCAGCGGAGGCCACTGAATGGAAGGAGCATATCTCCTTACATATAATTGAACAATCCAAGAGCGCGGAGTTTTGTAGGCAAATATTCTCCAGAATTAGGTGTATTAAAGAAATACTGTATTATACGGGAATAATTTAAAAAAAACCTTAGGAGATGTGGGCTCAATACTACAAATGGGGATGTCTTAGAAATGCTTAGGAATAACATATTTATGTATCACAAGCTCTATAGAAAGGTTACAGTTGTCGTCCAGTTCTAGGGACGACAGAATTCACACCAAATTACTGAAAAACACTAAATTACACTCAGCTCGTCTTCTGTTAATTATCTTTCAACAATCTTTGTCTTCTGGCGAGCTTCCTACACGTTGTAAAATTGGCAGGGTGGTCCCCGTACAGAAATCGAGGGATCGAACCTTACCATCAAATTATCGTCCTATATCTCTAACCAGTGTGCCGTGCAAGCTTCTTGAGCACATAATATATTCAAATGTCATGAAGCATTTCGAAAATAATCTCATCCTCTTTTCAAACCACCATGGGTTCAGACAATCATATTCTTGCGAAACACAACTAGCACAACTTCTTCATGAAATGCTCCATAACATCGATAATAACATAGAGACAGACGCCATATCATTGATTTTTCTAAAGTATTGAATACGGTATCTCATAATTTACCGATGCTCAAGCTAAATGAACTTGACATTTATCCACTCTTAACATCATAGATAGGACAGTTTTTAACCAACCGTACTCAGCTTACTGTGATTAACAACCTCTCATCAGCTTATTCTCCAGTATCATCCGGAGCCCCTCTGGTTTTTTTAACATTTGTAAATAACCTACTTGATCACATAACATCCTGTATTCGATTGTTTGGTGATGACTGCGTAATTTACCTATCTGTATCTAGTCTGAACGATAACATAACCCTACAAGCTGACCTCAACCTAATAGCCGACTGGTGTAAACACTGAAAAATGACCAGTTAACTTTTCTAAAACAAATCTCGTTTCCTTCACGCGTGCTCATTGTCCTCTCTCATTATCTTACACTATGAGCAGCCAGGTAATTACCAAGTGTCCACCTTACAAATATCTGGGCGTTTACTTATCTGACGATCTCTCATGAAACACGCATATAACACACGTCCTGTCTAATGCTAACCACTCGCTTGGCTATCTTCGATGGAATCTAAAACTAGCATCACCATTTGTTAAACGACTAGCCTACACTACGCTCGTAAGATTGCAACTTGAATGCGCATCATCCATCTGGTCCCCTTGGTAACATTCAAAGATAACAAACATAAATGCACTTAAAAATCGCGCAATGAGATTCATTTCTTCAGATTACTCACGAGACATCAGCATTACTTCTTTACGAATGAAAGCTAACCTTGATCTGCTCTCACCCAGAAGAAAATGATCACGCCTGTCTCTTTTTCACAAGATTTATTATCATAACAATGACATCAGAACTTCACTATTATTCCCAGTTACTCACATATTTCCTCGAATGGATAACGTCTGTGAAGTTCGTCCAATTTTCGCCTCGCTAGTTCGTTTCTTAACTCCACCTATCCTTTAACAATAACAGACGAGCCCGCCTAACAGTTTCGTAACCCAGACAGATCATAACACATTCATATCCCAACTGACCATCTATCTGCATTTGCACTAATAGTAAAGTGAATTCGTGTTTATAGAAATGTTTCATTTGTCAATTTTATGTTTAATCAGCTGTTTTTCCTTAAAAATATTTTGAGTGTTTATATTTTTTTCCTGTTTTTGCTGCATTATGTATCAATGTTCTCCAGCATGTAACTTACTTTTTGTTTGTTCCTTTATATAATGTTTCTTCAGCACGACGCCCCCAGCTTGTGTAATGCCCGTACCCAAGTAGCACAACACGCCGGGTTGGGGATGGGGCGGTATTGGCCTGCCGGGATACCGATACCGGCCAGTACCGGAAACGCCCCAAGGGGCGACATTGGCCGGGCCCAATGCCGGAATCCGGCCGGTACTGGGAACTTATTGGGAAACCGGGATGCCGGGAATACGGGATGTTCCCAGCGAGCTCCCGACACAGATCCCCGGCATGGAACCGGTGGTGCGGTAGGAAACCATCAGTGTGCCAGCGTGTTTCCGGGTCAGAGCCAGTCCAATTGCGGATTAGTCCCAGCGTAAAAACAGATCAGTGCCAGCGTAATTGCAGGTCATTGCCTGCGAAATTGCGGATCAGCACCAGCGTATGCGTCATTCAGTGTACCCACCATAGAACCAGCAGAATCTAGCTGTGTCAGGCTTTAAAGCCCAGGAATGACATTTTACTGCATTTTTAAACAGCTAACTTCTCAGTAGATCAAATTGACTTAAATGTGGAAATGCTAAATTTCTCAGTCCAAACTATTTTATTGGTTTTCATATCTTTTATAGGTGCTGACCGTTTTTAACATGTTTTTCGGACTTGAACTGAAAAAAGCCGGTTTAGTATTTGTGCAATTTTAAGAAACAATGCTGTGTGAACAATTGACTTTCTCCATGTATACAGTATACTCATGGCAATTATTGTATACTCGTTGAGACGACATGTCCCATTCATCTGTCGCCCAGATGCATATTGTGGTTAGTACAAGAAGGGAACATACAAATTTTTTTTTACCGTGACATTCTTTATTGTGACTCGTGCATCCATAGCAGCTAGCTCCTCAGCCAGAGTGTCCCTCATCGTCAAGGGCGGTTGGAACCACCAGTGGAGTGTCCGTCTTTTTAACTCTATTGCCCTTGCCCAACTCCCTGCCCGTCAGCCACTTCTGCACCGCGTCCACGCTGCACGAGTGCAACTTTGTATGGCACCTGTAAAGAGAATTGTCAGATCACACAGATTAGTTGAGGGATAGGGGAAGCCAATATCTTGCATATTAGCTACACACAAGGTGCTGTTCACACACTGCAGTTTGTGAGCATTTACTTTGTGTAAATATAGGTCCCTCACTTAGCCTGCAATTCAAAGGTGACAGAAAGAGAGCACCACAGAGGTGGAGATTGTGGGTTTGGCTACCACGCTAAGGTGCAGATTCTATGGAGGCATATGGCTATTTCACGCAACATCCTATTAATCTGAAATGGGGGCGAGACGGGGCGGGGGGCGAGAAGGGGTGGGGTGCAGAAATGAGTGGTTAAAAAAAGAGCAAAACTTCCCCAACTGACACTCTACAGACCAAGGCCTCTAAATGGTCGTCATTAGATTTTCAACCTGGAAACTAACAGGATAACAAGACAAGAGCAACAAAAACCTTTTTCCACAGTTCCTTCAAGACGCTGCTTTTCAGTATGAAGGTTCCGAGAATGGTAACACAGGAGATATTCGTAATAAAAAATGCAAGTCAAATTTAAAAAAAAAAAAAAAATAACGACAGGAATTGACGACTTAAATTTTGCATATTGCAAGACTTAACAAGAAACTGAAGCTGTTCTGTATTTGAGGAAGAATACCGAAATCGTCTTGATATGGCATCCAGGATCACGAATATCGAGTTCATTTTTTCAATCTGGTGCACGGAGGCTGCAGAAATTAATTTCTAAAGTACAGCTGAAGCCCCTCCTTCCCGGGGCGTGACGTCATGCAGGGAGTTTTCGGAATTTCTGCTCTCGCTCATCTTCAGCTCCTGTCAAACCTATGCACGTGAACTATTGTATTTGTAAAAAGGTCAGAAATAGACGCCACAACTGGCATCAGTGTGGAAAAATACAACTGGCAAGCTTGCAATTGCACGCGCCGCCCACACGAGCGACACGTGCTTGGCGCCCCAAAGATCCTAGTACGACGTCACGACTGCTCTGAGGCTTTTCGTGTTTTCTCGCGTCTAGTTACACCTTCGGGGAAAACGAAAGCGATATTCAGATTCACAGGACAAAAATACGCCAGAAGTCACCTATAACTCGTTTTTTTGTCAAAAAGTGTTTCAGTTTCCCTTTAATTGTCAACATATTTCAAAGATTGTGCTTGTCTATTGAGCTCCAATAGAGATACCATCAATTTAATAGCTAGTAAAGAATATGCATTACCGATGACCACCTTACACATCATGGCGTCCTTGAACCTTGACTTTCCTTGGTAGCCCAAAAGGGCCGGAGAACTGCTCCTGGACTTGCTTTGAGAACAGGCGTCCCACCATCTCTCGTACCACCTTCTGCAGGTTCTTGCTGTCTCCTAGAGACACGAGCTGCTCCTCCTAGAAAGACAAAATGTGTTCTCAATATGTCAATAAAGTTATTTATATGCAGATACAATGGTATGAACATGTCTCAAGTAAGAGAATGTGAATGCCCAGGTAAATGCAGCAAGTCACACTATACATGCATCAAAATGTTACAATATTTACTAGAGAGAGAATAAATAATATTAGAATATATGGCATCTCTACCTGTCTTAGACGAAACCACAAAGATTAAAATATTCCCCTCCATACTCCGCTAAATCTCATTAGTCAGTCAAAATCGTTGCAACGTTCAAATTGTGCAAACGTTTTGATGGATCC